GGATTATTAACATTTCAGATCAATTGCATTAATGTCGACAATCATATCGACACGTAATTATCATTTCTGAAATTAATTTTTCGTTTGAATAATATATATATTAGTTCAACATCTTAATACTTAGACCGTAGTGGCGCTTCGGATTTAAAGTAATGTTATTTAACATAACGGTCTTGTTTCCTATCATATTATCAATATTTATATGTATTCCGTCAAAGAATCATGTACATATCTCTGTCTCTAAACAGTTTAGCAACAGTTTTTGCAAACGATTCTTTACATCGTTACCAATAATCCTTACAAAACGTTATAATGGCAGAAGAAGAAGTAGTCGATATTCTAATCCCAGTTTGTCGTTGGATACGTGGCCATTATACAAAATTAACAAGTGGTAATCAGGCAAAATGTAATCATTGTGCAGAAATCACTATATATACGAGTAATAATAGATCCTTAGCTAATTTACATGAACATTTGGTGAAGAGACATCCAGACATATTATCAGAAGAAGAGAAGAAAGAAGATAAATTCGATTGGGCTTGGGATTATTTTATCGCAAAAAGCGATAGAGAGGCAACATGCAAATTATGTGGCTCATCAATTACGTATCGAAGAGTATTTCAACTCAAGAGTCATTTAAAACGTATTCACAAGTAGGTGTACTCGAAGTATTATAAATTAAAAAATTTATTTACGTACTGAAGAATGTAAAATTAATAATAGTAAAATGATCAATGTCAGCTAAAGAAAATGTAACGCAAATAAATATACTCAAATAAAGTTAGAAAAAATTATTAAACAAATTTTTGATACTTGTCAAATATGATTTGTACTTTTAAGCATTATAAATGTACAATAAAAAAAATTCAAAATTTATTGAAGTAACATACACACAAATTAGAAATTTTAATCAAATATTTAATATTTGTGTAATGATATAGCGCACAAGCAAAAGAATATGGAACACAGAACAAGAATTTTAATCTATTAGAAACTGTGTATTTCACAACACATGATTTCTGAAGGTTGAAATATCTATTTTCTTAATTCCTATTTCTTTGATAGCGCAATTCCTTATAAAACTAATCAGTATTCATTTATGTTACACAGTCTTATTAAATAACAAACTGAATTCCATGTTTCAAATTTACTATTACTGTGTTTAGTATAAAAAATTAGTGAAAAATAATTTGAAAAATTCCAATTTTTGCCGAATAATTATCAGATTTACAGAATATTTAAATCTGCTTGATCGTTACATTTTTGATCGCTATTAAAAGTTAAAATAGTAGATTTAAAAAAAATTATAATTTAATCCGTATAACGGAGGATAAATATAATTAAAAAAAAATAGCTTTAACGTACTTTTTATTGCTTTTTTAATAACTTCTTATGTAAATATAGGATATTCAATCCAAATTCAGATCTGGTAGAGGGCAATAACGAGAGCAATTCAGACAATGACATGATTGCAAATGAGGATATAATTAAAAAGACAGATTTTATTCCAGCTCGTCTTTATATACGTAAACATTACACAAAATTACCAAAGCGTAATGATGCAAGATGCAACTATTGTAATGTAAAATTCGCCATACTTAACAAAAGATTAGCTATTTTACATGACCATTTGGTGAAGAGACATCCAGACATATTATCAGAAGAAGAGAAGAAAGAAGATAAATTCGATTGGTCTTGGGATTATTTTATCGTAAAAAGCGATAGAGAGGCAACATGCAAATTATGTGAGTCATCAATTAAGTATCAACAAGTAACTCCACTCAAGAAGCATTTAAAACGTATTCACAGGTAGGTGTACTCGAAGTATTATAAATTAAAAAATTTATTTACGTACTGAAGAATGTAAAATTAATAATAGTAAAATGATCAATGTCAGCTAAAGAAAATGTAACGCAAACAAATATACTCAAATAAAGCTAGAAAAATTTATTAAACAGATTTTTGATACATGTCAAATATGATTTACACTTTTAAGCATTATAAACGTACAATAAAAAAAATTTATTGAAGTAACATACACACAAATTAGAAATTTTAATAAAATATTTAATATATGTGTAGTGATACTGCGCGCAATCAAAAGAATATGGAACACAGAACAAGAATTTTAATCTATTAGGAATTGTATATTTCACAACACATGATTTCTGAAAGTTGAAATTTCTATTTTCTTAATTCCTATTTCTTTGATAGCGCAATTCCTTATAAAACTAATCAGTATTCGTTTATGTTACACAGCCTTATTAAATAACATGAGGCATCAACAAACTGAATTCCATATTTCAAATTTACTATTACTGTGTTTAGTATAAAAAATTAGTGAAAAATAAATCGAAAAATTCCAATTTTTACTGGATAATTATCAGATTTACAGAATAATTAAATCTGCTTGATAGCTCCATTTTTGAA